CCTTGGACCACTCCACCCACATGGGAGACCAAGAAATAACCCTGGCTTCAGATTAGCTAAATTCTGGCCATTGCAGCTATTTGGAGAGTGAACTAGTGAATGGAAAATCTTTATCTCTGTGCCTTTTTGTATGTCTCACTCAATAAATAACTCTGTCTTTCAAATGAAAAATAAAATATTGTAAAATTGGGCCCAGCACAGTAGCTTAGCTGCTAAAGTCCTTACCTTACATGCTCCAGGATCCCATATGGGCACCAGTTCTAATCCTGGTGGCCCCACTTCCCAGCCGGCTCCCTGCTTGTGGCCTGGGAAAGCAGTCAAGGACAGCTCAAAGCCTTAGAACCCTGCACCCATGTGGGAGACCTGGAAGAGGCTCCTGGCTCCGGATTGGTTCAGCTCAGGCCATTGTGGTCTCTTGGGGAGTGAATCAATGGATGGAAGACATTGCTCTCTGGCTTTCCTCCTCTCTGTATATTTGACTTTCCAGTAAAAAATAAAATAAATCTGAAAAAAATATTTAAAAATCAGAGTATATGATTGTAATGAGGTCAAAGAAACCATTGGTTCTAAACTTCTTAGGCCAACAGTCCAGGTTACACAAAAAGGTTAATAATTTGATTTTGTTAGTTGATGTGAAGAGAAGGGAAGAGAAGATGTGTTTGTTATGGTTCTACGCACCATTTGGCACAATTACAGCCCTGTAATTTTGTTTTTGTTTTTATTATCCAATATTTGTTTATTTATTTGAAAATAATAATTAGGGAAAGATTGAGATCCTCTGTCCTCTGTTTGCTTTTCAAATAGTTGCAACAGTCAGGACAGGGCCAGACTAAACCAGACGTTTCTTCCAGGTCTCTCACACGTGTGCAAGGGCCCAAGGTCTTGGACCCATCCTCGCTGCTTTGTCAGGCACATTAGCAGGGAGGTGGGTTGGAACTGGAGTGGCAACAGTTTTACCTGCTGTTTCATGATAGTGCCCTACAAGCCCCCAGCTTTGGGTTGTAGGGTCTTAACCTGTTTGTTTGTTTGTTTGAAGTTTTGATGATGTTTACATAGTTGATTAAGGTGGGAAAAGTCGAGGATTAGGGGAAAGTGGGTAAGACCATTGTTTCTAAATTTTCTCTTCTTCCTATATTTGGGGAAAGGGGAGAGATAAAGGGAGAAGCCCCCCCCCAGCCTCTATTGTAGGAGGGGAACGGCCACCCATGTCATCCCAGGGTCCTTGATGTGGAGCATGCTCTGAGGGTTCTGCTCAAGTGGTTTTGATAGCTCTGAAATGCTGTCAAGCTCACTGATCCAAAGATGAGGAAATCCTTCTAAAGTCCATTGGCGGACACAGTCCACCTTAGAGTCTCCATTTGCCCAGATATTTGCCACCAAGGCTTTGCTGGGGAAGTTGACCAATTTGTTCTGCCCTCTTTCCTCTGCTATGGTACTGCATGTCCTCTGCAGGCCCCAACAAACTACCATATCCTCCTTGTGCATCTGGGAATGTTGTGCACTGCTCCATCTTAGCCACTGAGGAGGCCCAGCTCTGACACATGCACTCCACATTCAGACCACAGATCCTACAATTTTCCCTGTGATTGGAGTTCTGAGTCCAGTGATTCAGTTGGGGGGATCCCCAACAAAACCTCATCTGAGGTGATCCCAGACCTGGCTCTTGTGTGTGCCTGCCAGTACAGAGTCTGGCTCTGTCTGTCACCCACATCAGCCTACACTCACACTGGTAGTTGTAGTTGCTGTGTCAGTCTGTCTCTAGTGGTGCAGCCCAGCCCGATCCTGCCCAGCACACACTTGGCCCTCACACAAACCAGTGGGAATTGCAGCCTAGTCAGAGCGACCCCAATAACCCCTACTAGGCCCACCCCCTGCCCTGGTTCCTATGCTTGCCACTATGTACAGCCAGCTGATCCAGTCTATCCCACATCCCATTCAGCTCTCATACAGGTCAATGGGCATTGAAGCCTGATTCAACCCAAACAACCCATTATCTAACCCACACTTGTACCAGCAGGTGCCACCACCTGTCCAGCCAGGCCTGGCCCCAGCCCTAGTTCTCATGCTCACCAGTTGGGAGTTGCATCCCATCAGAGAAGTGCCCAGAGTTTCCCTGCTGGGCCCACTCCCAGGTCTTGCCTTCTCTAGGTGGTTCTACAGTCTAGCTTGACAGGACTTGCCCCCAGTTCCAGCACCTGCTAGCTGATGCTGCAGCGAAGCCTAACCAGCCTGTACTTATTTTGGCTTATGTATGGACCAGTGGGTACAGTCACAGTTAGCCCAGCCTGGCTCTCCCTGTAACCCAGTTCACATTCCAGCCAGCAGGTGGTATAGCCCTGCCCAGTCTGGTCTGCTCCAGTCCCATTTTTCATGCTTGCCAGTGGGAGCAGTGACCCAGCAGGGAAGCCCCCTGCAGCCCCTCTACCCAGGCTCACAACCCCCACTTCTGTGTCTCACATGTGCTGGTGGGTGCTGCAGCCCGACCTGGCCTGTCCTGCAACTAGTCCTGGTCCTCGGATCTGCCAGTGGGTGTTGCAACCTGGCCTGGTCTGGGCTGCTCCCAGCCTTTGGTTCTAGCACTCACCTGCAGGGATTGCATCCTGACAGAGGAGACCCCCAAGCTCCTCTATCAAATCTCCTCCCAGTGGCAAATCTCGCACACACCACACACTGTGGGTCCTTGGCCCAGACTTAGTCCACCTCCTATCCTAGCACAAACAGTGGCCTTGCCCAACCGGCCTATACCTATTCTGGTTCTTACTGCGGGTGCTACAGACCAACCACACCTGTTCCACACCCAGACATATTTCATGTGGTTTAGCTGATACCGAGACCTAGCCCAGCCTGTCCTACACCCTCCCTGCCTCTCACAAGCACTAGCAGGTGTTGGAGTCTAGCCCAGTGTGGCATACCCCAGACCCAGTTCACATACATGCCAAGGGATACTACAATCATGTCCAGCCCAGATCTCAGCTTCCATTCCAGCTCTCATGCTAGCCAGTGGGAAGCCCAGCCCAGCCAGGGCTTTGCCTTAGCTCCTCAACCAGGCCTGTTCACAGACACAGACATTGCACATGCCAGTGGTTGCTCTGATCCAGCTCAGCATACCCTATCCCCTTTCTTGGCCCTTACCATTGAATGCTGTAGCCTGACCTGTCCTGGCCCACCCCTAGTTCCAAGTCTCATTGGTGGGTACTACAGCCTAGCCCTGCCCAGTCTGCTCCCATCTCTATCTTTTGCAAACTGGTAGGTGTGGAAACATGACCCACACTTCAGCATGGGCATGCCCATTCTGCCCCTCTCCAGAACCGACCCACACACATACCGACAGGTGGAGCTAGCTTGCCTTACCTGACCAACACCCAGGCCTGAGTCACGTGCTCACCAACAGGAGCTATGCCCACCAGGGAAGTTCCCACCAGTCCCACTCCCAGACCCAGATCTCACATATGTCAGCGAGTGCTAGGTCCTTAACGGGTATAATCTACCCCCTGTCCCGGTCTTTGTATGAACTCGTGAATGTTGCGGCCCAGCCCACCCCACAGCCTGTGCTTGGATGCACCTGTGGGTGCTGCACCCTGGACCAGCCTGGCCTGTATACTCAATCCCAGCACCCATGAGTGTTGGAGGGTTCCATGGTCATACCTACCTAGCTCAGCCCGTCACCACCCCACCTCTTAAGCAAACCAGCGGAAATCGTAATTCTCCCGGGGTGGGCATATCTCACACAAAGTGGTGCCCCCAGATCTGGTTCTCTCGTGTGCTGGTTAGTGTCATGGCCCAGCCTAATGTGACCCATCCCCTATTCTGATACTCACTGGCGGGTACTGTGACCAAGTCCTGCCAGGTAGGCTCCCAGCCCTAACTTTTGTGAGCACTGGTGGGTGATGGTCGGCAGTGGTTGATGCTAAGTAGCCCAACCAACTCAGGTTTCATATCTGGGTGAGTGCATCAGTCTGACTCAGAATGGTCCTCTGGCTTCTAAATCGCTTAGTCTCAGCCCCCTTGCTTACCTGCAAGTACGGTGGCCGTGTTGATGGAAATCTCCCAAGTTATTCCTCACCTGCAACATACTCCCTCAGTGGTCCTCCCTCCCTCACATCCCCACACCCCACTCCCTGAGCAGTCCACAGTCCTTGTGCCGGGTAGCACATGGGTTTCCCAGGCTGGAATTCCCAAGCCTGGTTTTCTGGTGAAGTGGCATGCTGGCCTGGAGCTCTGCCTGCCCATCAGAGACCCACAATCTTTGACGGAGTCCCAGACCCTGTCCTCTGACACGTGTACAGGTTTGGGACCTTACCTCTGCATTCGTCTGGGACACAAGTGCTTGTGCAAGATCCCGGGCACTGCACGTGGGCACACCACTCTGGTCTGGGGCCTTTCCCTCCCGCTTCCACATCTGTGATCTGAGACCCCCTCCAGTAGCCCCCAGGCCGCAGAGCTCATAGGAGAAAGTGAAGCCACCAGCAGTTCTGGCTCCTCAAAGCTCCCATTTGTTTTCTATCTCATGCTTCTCACCCTACTTGCAGAACAACCCTCTCCCCAGCCCCACCCCTCCCTGGACTTCTCATCCCAGAGGGGTCTCCAGCCATTGAGACTGAAAAGTTGGTAGCAGCCCACTTGGTAGTGGCCACACGGCAGCCTCTTCCCCATCCCAGGCCTGAGAGTTGGGCCCTCCCATGTGAGGGACAGAGGTAGCACACACAGGAATAATCTGTGCCTGGAGGGGCCCCAGACCCGGTGTGATGCCAGCATACAGCCAGCCACTCGCACTTGGATGTGATGACCCGATTTTTTATCAGCAGTCCCTCCCAAGATTAACGGAGACTTGTTGGATTAGCTGAAACTGAGTTTGGGTCTGAGGTCTTTTTTTTTTTTTTAACCTTAATTGCTTTAGCTCAGTAGTAACTATTCCCCCGCACCACCACCACCACCACAAAAAAGTTCTTGGATTTATGTTTTAAACACAAAATGTAATGGTGCTTGTGTTGCATTTGTAGGAATGGCAAGGAATTCACTATGCCAAAAAGAAAAATGGAGATAATATACAACAAAATGTGAAGATAATACCTGTTGTTGGACAGGGAGGGTAAGTTGGAGGGAAAAAGAAGTTGTTCTGGTTGGATTTCATGCTTAGGATCACTGCAAAGTTTGCTCTGAATTCCCGAGACCTGCCCACAGGATTTGTCAAGCCAGACTCACGGGCAGGTCAGGTGTCATCATGGAATGGCCCTCTGTATAGGGCTTTCCTGACAGCCTCATCCACCTCATGTCCCCAGCGTCAGGATGGGTGTGTTTTAAGCCTTGTAGATGCACAAGGGACTCAAGTGCTTACACTTAAAACCAGACTATCCACGCTTGACGCTGCTTGACACACATCTGTGTTAGCCAGCGTTTTATCAAAACCAGATCCCCAAGAGGAGCTATTGTGAAAGGAAGCAGGTGTGTTTCAGTTCAAAGTTTCAGAGACTCACATCCGAGGCCTGGCAGCCCACTGGTGGAGAGGAGGGTGGTGGCTGGTGGTGGAACATGTGTGGAGGAAGGGAAGGGTAGCCAGCATGTGCACTGGTTCTCAGTGGGTCAGTCAGCTTCTCTCTGTAAAGCCACAGTGATTTGATCTTGGGGTTGTTGCATTTCAGGAGTTGAACCCCACCTAGCCACTTTTTAAAGCCCCAGATTCAGATAGCACAGCTGGGGTCAAAGCTCTCCCCTTAATCTACTAAGTAGTAACACTCTATTAACCATGAACGTGAGGCTTATAGGCCCTTGGGGGACACTCAGACTGGTACCCAAATCACAGTGTGTGTTGGCTGGGCTGGGGGAGTCTGGCTCTTTAGTTTGGTACCCTGTGCCTTATTCTAGCAAAAGCCTAGCAAATTAGGTAAAAATATACTAACAGTTACAGAAATTCTCAGATATTGGCTATAGACTGGAAGTCAATTTCTATATCAGGAGCCTAAAAATTTTAGATGGTTTATCTCAGACTCTAGGTTAAGGGAGAAAAAGTGGAAAATTACAAATATGAAATTGTAGAAACCCAACCACAAAATATGCACCCATAAGAAAGGCTGCTCATAGAAAAAGCAAGTGACCAGGAGCAAGCTTGCAGTATGAAGTGCAGGTTAGACCTCATGTAGGGTCCCTGTCGTGAGAGAGGAGGGGCCATGGCCCTGGGTGGCCACTGCTTCTCCCTGAGCCTTCCTCCAGCCAGGCCCTAGCATCTGCTGGTGGTCACTTCCCGAGTCCCAGCAACATCCCTGTTGGTGTCGTGGCTATGTCTGGGAGGCCCAGCTGTTGGCCTATCTGCTACTGCTGGTGCATGGCAGAACTGGCCACAGACCGGAGTACTGACCACATGGCTCACGTGCTGTGCCACCAGGCCCTGCCAGCAGCTGGCATTGCGTTGCGGACTCAGTGTCTGTGAGCCCTCTGTTCTCATTCTTTGCCTTTTTATGTCCCTTCCAAATTTTTTGTGATGAGTGTATAGGGATTCGAGTATCAAAGGGGGGAAAAATGGATGAATGGAAGGAACAATGAGTAAGTGAGCAGTCAGTGGCTTCAGAGCCTTGTTTTCAGCTTGCTGCTGACCCCGCTCTGGAAGCCGTGGCCGCAGGGGACCCAGACAGGTTGGTTCGTTGGTACTTGAGCAGAGTATCAAAAGGATTGCAAATAGGAAGATGTACTGGGGGGCCTTGAAGCCCTTGGCTGCTTAACATGCCACACACGTGGGATTTCTCAGTCTGTCATGATGATTTGACAAGCCAGTTGTTTTCACTGAAGTCACTTCTTTCCTACTGAGACCCCAAAGGATGTTTGTAAACAACAACAACCTCACTGATTAATGGCCTTGGCCACAAAGAATAGGGGAGAGTTATCAAAAGGAGATACTCTTTTTTATGCTAAAACTCAGCTGCCTATTATCTATCAAATTAGAGAGCCACAAGTGAAATAATGCCTTTTTTTTTCCTGCTTACAGAAAAATTAGACACTATGTGTCCATTATCAGAATGTGCAACGGCAACAACAAGGTATGTGAGGATCACCCTGGGACCCACGCGCCCCCGCCCGCCCCCCAAGGCCCTGACATTCAGAACTAATGGCTTTCCAAATTCATTTTTAGGCTGAGAAAATACCTGAAGTTGTTCAGTCTGAAACTCCAGCAGGTATGGTGCCCCATGCTCGCTCTTAGGGCTCCTTGAGGCTTTGGGAAGAAGAGGCAGCAGCCCCTTCCAGCCTGGTGCAGTGACAGACCATGCTTTCAGAGCCCAGTGGTGTAGCACTCCTTTCCCTGGCTTGGAGCAAGGGAGCATCAAAGGAGCAAGCGCTCCAGGGCATTCTTCCTGCACCCCTGGGTGGGCCTCTGCCTCAGGGAAGAGCCAGCCCAACTGAGGCCTGAGCTCATGTGACGTGGGTGTAGGGATGCTTTGATGAGCTGATGTGAGCTTCCAGGACAGGGGGCTGGAGTCAGACCAGACCTGTGGCATGGCTCTTCGTATGTGCCTTCAGTCATCACGGCAGCCTACCGGACAGCGGACAGCCGCCCAGTGCCCCTCACTCATCTGTTGCTTACTCATCCTATTCGCCACCTGCTCCAGCCCACTTTCTGTATCACAAAAAGAGGAGAGAGTAGATGGTGGTGTGGACCAGAGAGGGCACAGTGCAAGGTAGTGCTGGGTTAGGTGGGTCCCACCAGGGTCTGGGGAAGCTGCCACCTGAGGGGTCCCAGCATGCAGCAGCAGAATGGGCCTGTATTCCTCTCCTGTGTTCCACAGAGAGGCAGACTGGAGGTGCTGTTGCTGGTGGCCAGCAAAGCCTCCAAGTGTAAGGCAGATGTAGAACTACAGCGAGGGGTAGCAGAGGGAAGTGGAATTTGAGGTTAACCCAGAGGAGGAGAAAAGGGAAAGGAAGAAAGAGGGAGCCCCGCCAGGAGGTCAGGGAAGGTGGGCAGAAGTAACCAAGCAGGAACACACAGAGGCAGGAGTCAGGGGAGCTGGAGCTGACACGCACGAGGCCGATTCTGCGTTGGGAGCTCCTGCGTGCCCTGTGGAGGGCAGTGAGGGCAGGTCCCGGGCCCAGGGTAGAAGCAGCAAATGGACACTGGTGTGGCCAGGGCCCTGTTTCTACGGTGGCTTGTTGGGGCCTGTGCTGCATGCCTGAGAGCAGCCTTGTGCAGCAGGCATAGCTGCTATTTTTTATGCGATTTTACTTGTGAAACAGATGGAGCTCTCATGGGTGCGCTTAAGCCTGTGAGATGCGCTTCAGCCAGAAAGGAGCTATAGTAATGGACTAGAGGACTTTCATGGGAAACTAGGATAAAAAGATTTGTTTTAGTGCAAAAAAATGTTTAAAATCCATGCATGTTTCCTTCATAATATGGATTTTTCATGACCTTTTTCAAGACTCCTTCATATGCCTGGACTACAGAATTTCATTGCACTGAAAAATGAACTTTCCTATTTATTTGAGAGGCTGAAACAGACAGGCAGGGCTCTCACCCACTGCTTCGTTTCCCAAATCCCCAAGTGAATGAGGGATTGGCCAGGCCAAAACTAGAAGCTAAGAACTGCATCCAGCTCTCCCACAGGGTGGCAGGGACCTAGGTACTTGAGCCTTCCAGTGCTTGCCTGCCAGGGCATCGAGCTGAGATCAGGAGCTGGCACACGGCTCTGGATTAAGGGCATTGTAATGTCCAGGGTCAAGGCCTGCCCCTAGCAGGGTTACTGCTATCACTCTTTTTTTTTTAAGATAATTATTTTTATTTTTGATAGTTTTCCATAGGTGATTAGAGTACAAAGGGGTCAGGGGCTACAAGAAGGTGACACAGACCATTATTTCCACATTCTCTTTTTTTCTTCCTGTTTCTGGGGGAAGGGGAGAAGCCACACCCAGCCTCCCGACCACAGGAGCCATACCCTAGGATGAAGGACAGCCACCAATGCCATCCCAGGGTCCCCAGTGTGGGGCATGCTCCAAGGGTCCTGCTCAAGAGGTTTTGATAGTTCAACAGTTCTGAATTACTGCCCGGCTTGCCACTCCAAGCACGATGAAACCTCTTCAGAATCCTTTGGCTGACATAGTCCACCTTAGAGTCTCCCCAGGTATTCACCACCAAACACTTGGCTGGGATAGTTGATCCATTTGTTCTGTCCTCCATCATTTGTTGTGGTACTAGGTGTCCTCTGCAGGCTCCAATGTGTTGCCATATCCTCCTTGTACATCTGGGAATGCTGTCCACTGCTCCATCTTAGCCACTGAGGAGGCCCAGCTCTGACACATGCACTCCACATTCAGACCACAGATCCAGTGATTCAGTTGAGGGGATCACCAAAGAAACTTCATCTGAGGTGATCCCAGACCAGACTCGTGTGTGCCTGCCGATACAGGATCCGGCACAGGCCGTTGCCCCAAGCAGCTTATGCACATGCTGGTGGTTGTAATTGCTGTGTCAATTCTGTCTCTAGTGGTGCAGCCCAGCCCGATCCTGCCCAGCACACACTTGGCCCTCACACAAACCAGTGGGAGCTGCAGCCTTGTTGGAGCTACCCCAATAACCCCTACTAGGCCCACCCCCTGCCCTAGTTCCCATGCTTGCCAGTATGTACAGCCAGCTGATCCAGTCTGTCCCACATCCCATTCAGCTCTCATACAGGTCAATGGGCATTGAAGCCTGATTCAACACAGCCAGCCCCACTATCCAGCCCACACACATGCTGGTGGGTGCCACTGTGTCTAGCCATGCCTGCCCCAGTCTTGTTGGAGTGGCAACGCAAAAGGGAAATACCCACTGTTTCCCTATTGGGCCTACTCCCACTCCCGGGTCTTGCACTCTCCAGGTGGTTCTGCAGTTTAGCTTGACAGAATTATTCCCCCGTGCCAGCATCTGCCAGCTGATGCTGCTGTAAAGCCCTTCCAACCCACACCCACTCTGGCTTGTGCATTTTGGCTTTCCCATGATCCAGCTCACATGAGGCCAACAGGTGTTATAGCCCTGCCCGACCTGGTCTGCTCTCATGTCAGCTCTCACACTCAGCAGTGGAAGTGATGGTCCAGCATGAGAGCCCCATGCAGCCCTCTACTAGGTTCACCCTTTCCCCGCCTGGGTCTCACGTGTGCTGGTTGGGTCCTGGTCTGACATGGCCCGCCTCACCTCAGCATTTGCCAATGGGTGCTATGGCCTGGCCGGGCCCAGCCCACCCCCAGTTCCAGCTCACGCTGCTGAGGGCTGCAGCCAAGCCCAGCCCAGCCTGGCCAGCCCCTAGTCCCAGCCCTCATGTGAACTGGCTTGTGTTAACAGTTTTATTACAGAAGGAGGAAGCAGGGCTCAGCAAAGTTAAATGATAACCTAGAGTTGGGCAGGAAGGAAATGGCAGAGCTGAGAGTGAGTGGCAGTCATAGGAGATGTTAGGTGAGTAAGATTCTCCAAAACGATACTTGTGCCAGGTCAGCAGTCAGGAGCAGGTCTCTCAGGAGTCAGACACACCAGGTGAGCCACCTGCCTGGGCAGCATGTTATTGGAAAGGCAGATGTGCACAGAGGAGAGACAGAGAGGAAGATCTTCATCCCATGGCTCACTCCCCAGGCGGCCACAGTGGCCAGAGCTGAGCCAATCCGAAGCCAGGAGCCTCTTCTGGGTCTCCCACGCAGGTGCAGGGTCCCAAGGCTTTGGGCCGTCCCCGACTGCCCTCCTAGACCACAAGCAGGGAGCTGGATGAGAAGTGGAACAGCCGGGATTAGAACCGGCACTGATATGAGATCCTAGGCACACTCAGGACAAGGACCTCAACCGCTACGCTGTCGCGCTGGGCCCCAGAACCAGTTTTTGCTAGAAAAGCAGTTTATTGCAAGGGAATGGAGTAGCTCACAGATTGGACAAGAATAGACAGTGTGGAAAAGGGAAAGGAGCCATGAGAAGCTGGGCATTGTGCCCACTGCCCTGTGTGTGCCATAGGAGCTGTACGGTTGAGGGTCACTGCCATCCCTGGTGCGTTTTGAGTACCTGTGGCCCAGCTGATACCTAGAGACGGGGGCTGCTGCCACTGCCATGCACAGCAGCTTCTTGCCACCCTTGCTTACTTGCCTCCTTCACTTCAGTGCAGACTTGGCAGGACCTGGGTCACCTAGAACTCCATTGCTGCCTGAGCATGATGCAGAGGAGGACTTGGGGGCTCCCCAGGCACAGGAAAGACATACTGAATCAGGACATCCAGGAAGCAATGACATCCCAACATACAGCCCTTCCCCTGGCCTGTGCGTGCTCTGGGTACAGAAACGCACAGCGGTCCATGGTGCGATGGGAGGCAGGGATCACTTGCATTCGCTGTGCTTGCTCTGCTACACTGGGGTGCACAGGGGTGCATCCCCTGTCCTGAGGACTGATCTGGTGTCTGGAGGAGAGGCAGGGTTAGCTGGAGGACACAGAGGGAGAAGCTGCATATGCAGAGACAAGGAGACAAGTGGGGATGGGGCAGGCCATGTGACTCAGCCCTGCAGCAAGGGAAGGCCTAGACACTCATGGGAACCAGTAAGTGAGAAGGGCCAGGCCCTGGACATCTAGAGGCAAAGACACAGGGGGAGGAGCTTGCTGTGCTGGACTCCCGATGAGCCTTGAGGATGGCTGCCAGCCTTCTGGCTTGGCCAGCTGGTGGCACAGATGAAATGGTAAGTGTGGATGAGAGCCTGTGGAAGGACAGTGGGGCCAGGTGTGGACTGACCAGGTCTCAAGAGCCAGTGGAGAGGTGGTGCAGTGTTAGGAGACTGCCCGCACTCTGGGCCTTGGGCCAGCTATCCTAAAGAAAGGAAGCAAGACAGGAAGAGTGCCTCTAGTGGAACCTGGTGGCATGTGGGGTTCAGGCACTGACTCCAAAACCAGGATGCTCCGACCAGGTGCTAGACTGTGTGTGTCTGTGCTCTTGAGAAACCCACATTGTCGCTGAGGTCAGAGGGGGAGCAGAGAACAGGGTTCTTGGTTCTTTGGCAAAGTGAAACAGAGAGGCATGTGGGCAGGAAAGGCTGGTCGTGGGGCTGCAGAGCGCACCCAGCCCCAGGATGTGTGCGTAGAGGCTCATGTGCACCTGGAGAAGGTGAGCTTTCTCGTGAGGACAGATCTGCGCTGTGCTCCGGGGCCTGGGGCCAGTGCTCTCCAAGGCCTGCTGGAGCTGGGAGGCTGTTCAGACGCATTCAGCAACCTGTGCAGTCTGCTTCTGCTCTGGCCGCAGCCACCCGCCTCCCGGCTGCAGCTGCCCCCAGCTCCTCCCGCCCCCCAGGGGACTGTGCACACCGTATACTTGCCACTCTCAGTCCGCACACCATGACGCCTTACTCATCTCGCGTCACTAATGGCTACCCCAGGGCCTGGCAGAGTTCAGTGGCCTGCAAGTGTCTGTTGATGAATCAGAGCAGAAAGAAGGAACAGATGCAGAATTCCAGCCGGGTCTCAAATGACAGCACCGCTATATCCACTTACACCTAGCTGCCTGCAGATAGATTGAGGGAGCAAGCTTGGCTCATGGGACCTGAAGAGAGAAGGTGAACGACCCCAGAGGGTAACATGTGTCCGTGCTAGGACAGGGCAGAGCAAGGATGGGTACAGCAGTGTTGAGAAGGTAGGTGGAACCCATGAGTCAGACTGAGCAGTGGGGCAGGTGGGGTGATTTATCTCCCCCATACATGACCTGGGATGCGGGCAGCTCATTCTGGGTAAGGAGCTGATGGTAGCGCCTGAGGGGCATGGGGTGGGGGTCAGGTAAGATCTGAGCACTCAGGCCTGGAGCACAAGAGAGGTCGTCTTGGGGAAGATGGCCGCCTGGGAGTTAGTCACAGCTGGGAGAAGAACAGAGTTAAGGACGGAAATTTTGGAACCATTGGAGGGAGAAGAGGGTCATGCAGGAGACCGGGAGGGCATCCTGAGAGGTGAGAGAGGTGAACGTCCCCCCAGGAGCACAGGCCCCGCCGACGGCAGGGTGTGCAGAGAGGGACTGGAGATCTGGGGACTCCGATGAGAATCGCAGTTTGGGCCCTCGGAGTTGGCAGCAAGAGGCAATGGGTGGCCTCAGCAGGTGCACAGCCAGCTGGAACAAGAGAAGCACCTCCACAGTGCAGAGGGGCCCCCAGGGGACCTGCCCTGGGGACATAGGAGCAGAGGAAGAAGGGCTCCTAGGTAAGGAAGCCAAGAAGGCACCAAGAAGCTGCCTCTGGGGTGGGACACCTGGAGCCGGAATACTCACTGTGTTATGGCCGCCTCCCAATTTCCCTGTCTGTGAATGAGGACATGAGGTGTGGCCCACAATAGCCTCAACACCATAAGTGGCAGCCAGCAGGTGCACAGAGGAGGGATCCATGAGGAAGTTTACTCTGCTGTCACCAATGACCAGGGTGGAGATTGGGGTAGAGAAGTTTCCAGGATAGTCCTTGTGGAACTCATAAAGCTATGCCCCTCACAGACAGCAGGGTCAGCAGGAGCAAGGTCAAAGAGAAGGGTTCATGGAGACATTGAGGAGAAAGTAAGGGAAAGGTTTATTCCTCTTAGCGGCAATGTCTGGAGACCAGAATTCCCCCACATTGTACTTGTTCCCCGCAAGTGTGATGGGGGACTTGCCTGAGCCCCGCTCTGCCACTTGTAGTAGAGGCCAGGGATGTGCAGGGTCACCTGCAGCTCACAGCACCCATGTTAGTGAGGGCACCACGACACCCTGAAACAGCCCAGGCCCCAGGTGGCACAGTCTCCCATGTGTCCTGTGAAATCTTCAGTGAGGTTTTAATTCTTTACTTTTGTCTTACGTTGATAACCTTTCCTAATTTGTTGCTGGAGTCACCTGGAAGAGGTGGTGATAAGGTGACTGTTCCCACAGATAACCAGACGGGCAAGCACCGAGACAGGAGGAAAGGCTCCCTGGACGTCCGAGCTCTCGCTTCGCGGACAAACGAAGGTGAGTGACTGGCAGGAGGGCACGGCGGCACCCTGAGCACTGGCCAGAGGCCTGCCCGGAACCAACCCTGCCCCCCGGCCATTCTGTCCACGTGGGACAGGACCTTGGGGGTCCTTGTTCCTGCTCCCGCATTGCAACATGCAGTCCCCATCTGCTGTCCATTCAAATAATGAGGCTGTTTTTCTAGTTGATGGGTTGTCGTTCTCCATGCTGCCATGTGCTGGGTCACTCCCTGGATGCTCCCAGCGGGCCCCGGCTTGGGCAGCAGCTAGACTGCATGCCGTCACTGATGTTCTAAGCTGTGATGGCACGTGTCAGGTGACTGTTGGTGTAGCAGGGGCCGCGCATTGGCAGTTCTTAACTGCATTGGGGACTGCCATTCACCATGGAAATGTACCTTCTGGGGAGGGGTGAGCCTTCTGGGGGTGAAGGGAGACTCTTACTAGGCACCCACGCTTTAACCCGTGAAGTCCTGAGCTTCCAATTCTATGTGTATTTCAAAGACATGTTTTTTTTCCAGAGTCACCATATGTGGCGTATTTATTAACTGATTTAACACATTTTAACTGTTTTATATATAAGACAATAAATACGGTTATGTTCCTTATCTTTCAGATTTTATTTTATTGGGAAGAGACAAAGACCTTCCATTGCTGGTTCACTCCTTAAGTGCCCAGCACAGCCAGAGCTGAGCCGATCTGCACCCAGGAGCCAGGAGTTTCCTCTGGGTCTCCCACGTGGATGTAGTGTTCCAAGACTTTGAACCATCCTCCACTGCCCTCCCAGGCCACGAGCAGGGAGATGGATTGAAAGTGGAGCAGCTGGGAACGAGCCAGCTCCCTTATAGAATGCCAGCACTTACAGTTGGAGGATTAACCAATGAAGCCATCGTGCCAGCCCCCAACATGGTTACATTCAAACTGAAATATGTTAAAGATCATGTACGTGCATGAGCTGAATGACCTAGTGTGTTTAGTTAATCAGAATTGTTTATGGGACTGGCATTGTGGCCTGTTGGGTCAAGCCACCACCTGCAATGCCTGCATTCCCTATGGGTGCAGATTTGAGTGCCAGCTGCTCCACTTCCAATCTAGCTTCCTGCTAAGGCACCCAGGAAAGCAGCAAAAGGTGACCCAAGTGCTCGGGCTCCTGCACCCACGTGGGAGATCCAGATGGAGTCCCAGGCTCCCAGCTTCAGCCTGGCCCAGCTCCGGACTTTGTAGCCATTTGTGGAATGAATGAGCTAATGGAAGGTCTTTGTTTTCCTCCAACCTTGCTTTGCAAAGAAATAAATCTTAAGTAAACGAACAAACAAACAAACAAAAAAAACCCATTGTATATCATTGTGCATTGTATATCTGTGTATACAGTGGTGACACACACTGTTGCTAGCTATGTTCATTTTTTGGTCAGGAGACAAACAGCAAGGCTACAGAGCTAGTGGCTGCTGGTTGAGAAGTGAAAGCTTTCCAAGGTGCCATCTGCTAAGGTCATACAGTGCAGTCAGTTGCCAGACATGTGTGACTTGATACCATGCCTAAATGGTGCAGATGACAGCCTGTGGCAGGACAGTGCTGGATGGAGCCAGGCCGGGGTAGCGGAGCAGGATGCTGCGAGCGGAAAAGTGTGGGCTGTGGGTCAGTGACCTTGGTCCAAGTCCTGGCTGGGTCAGCTCTCTGCAGCCTGGGGGTGGCTCTGTGAGATGGGGGTAGCTGCACCTTCCACAGGGCATCCCATGAGGGGTCCTAATAGAGGGGGCTCACTTAGCGTGGGCGGCCATCACCACCTGCCCCACGGCTGTGGGTGCTGTAGTCTGCAGCCCTGTGCAGTCCTGGCCATGCCGTGCTCCTCAGTCCCCACCCCAATAACTTAGTTATTTTTGCACTCCTTCATATATTTCCGTGTCTCAGTAAATATTTTCCTTTTTGTTTTTTAACTACTCTTTATCACTACTTTAAAATTGAGCTATAGAAGTATTCAGTTCAATGACGGTTGTACACACTCAGGAAAGTACTCTTCAAAATAGAAACATACACACACACACAGGGGCTGCCCTGCTTTCTAACACCATAAATGAATGCAGCCTCTCACACCTCCTAGATTCAGAAGAGTACCATGTGCACTTTTGTGTCTAGCTGCGTTCACTGATGTCAGCATGTTTGTTAGGTGGACCAGCCTGTTCCTTTTTGTTGTTCAGTGTAAGATTTCCATGGTTTGTCTAGCCATCCCCTTACGGATGGGTTTTGGTGGTGTTCTGTTTTGTGCCTGTCAGGAACAGGCTGCCTGGGGTGTTTTTGCATATGTAGGTTTTTTGTGCGTGTGTTTTGTTTAGGTTATTGCCAGTTCATTTCCCAAGCGTGCAACTACTGGTTCTGGAACAGACCAAAATCAGGAGCCAGGAATTCAGGCTGGGTCTCCTTTGTTGGTGGCAGGGCCCCCAAGGCAGGCAAGGTGCTGGAGTCAGGGTTGAGTCAGGGCTCAAACCCAGCGTTCACTGCCAGGACATCACCACCACCAAGCACTGTTCCTTCGTGTCTCTTAGTGGACACCCGTGTTCATCATCTGAGAGTGGCATTGCAGGGCTCGGGGTAGCTGCAGACTGTTCTCCGCCTTGGGTTGTACTATATTGCTGGGTACCACCACTCTCTGAAAATTCCTGCATTTCAAATGTTAGCCGTTCTGGGCACTGGTGTCATGGCATAGTGGGTAAAGTCACCACCTGCGACCCTGCATTGTATGTGAGTACCAGTTCAAGTCCCGGCTGCCCCACTGCCAACTCAGCTTCCTGATGGTGGTCTGAGAGGAACAGAGGAAGATGGCCCAAGGCCTTGGGGCCCTGGTACTCCATGGGAGACCCAGATGAGACTCCTGGCTCCTGGCTTCAACCAGGGTCAGCCCTGGCCTTTGCAGCCATCTCGAGAGTGAACTAGAACATGGAAAATTCTCTCTCCATTTCTCCCTGTAACACCGACTTGCAGAGAAATACTTTTTCAAATGTTGGCTGTTAGTGTTCCATATGACTGGTGAGGTTGAGCAGCATGTCCCATGCGGACTGGCCACAGGGAGGCTCTCTTTTGTGAAGTACTCTACAAATCTTTCTTTTTTTATAATTAGGTGACTTTTTTTATTGATTTATAGGAAATCTGTTGAGAGGCAGAGAGAGAGAGAGAGAGAGGGAAATGCATTAGTTCACTCCCTCATGCTTGCTTGTGGTTCATTAACCCCAGTCACAGCAGAAGGCAGAAGCCAGAGATTCAGTGCAGGTCATATTCGTTGTAGCAGATCTGATTACTGGAACCAGCACTTACACGACCTGCAGGACCTGTGTTGAACTTAACCGCCTAACCCAGCCAGCTACCCAACCCGGTGCTCCACTGTGGAATGGGGCAGCTTCACCACTGGGCCATATGTTTGCCCCTGCAATTTCTTACGTAGTCTAGATAAGGATCATGTATAAATGGATTTGAAGATGTTTATTTTGGGTACCAAAATTTTTTAATACATGTGTTTTTTTTTTCATAATACAGATTTCCCATGAGATTTCTGGAAAATCCTCATATACATATATATTTTAATATCTTTATGCTAAAATTTTAAATTCCATGCTCCAGGAACTTTTTGAAGTAACCCTGTATGTATCACAAATATATTTTTTTAGCCAATAGTTTATTGCTTGCTATCTTAATTGTGTCTTCTGATGAAGATGTCATGGATATTTTTTTTAACATTAATTTATTTGGGGCTCGGCGCAGTAGCCTAGTGGCTAAAGTCCTCACCTTGAACGCCCAGGATCCCATATGGGCGCTGGTTCTAATCCCGGCAGCCCCGCTTCCCATCCAGCTCCCTGCTTGTGGCCTGGGAAAGCAGTCGAGGACGGCCCAAAGCCTTGGGACCCTGCACCCGCGTGGGAGACCTGGAAGAGGCTCCTGTCTTTGGGTCGGCGCAGCTCCGACCACTGTGCTCACTTGGGGAGTGAATCAACAGACAGAAGATCTTCCTCTCTGTCGATCTTCCTCTCTGTCTCTCCTCCTCTCTGACTTTACAATGAAAGTGAAATAAATCTTTTTAAAAAAACATTTGGAAGGCATCTTCCATCTTCTGCTTCGCTCCCCACATAGCCACGATGACCAAGGCTAGGCCAGACTGAAGCCAGGAGGCCCCCATGCCAGTGCAGAGGTCTTGAACTTGAGCAGTTCTCCATGGCTTTTCCAGATGCGTTAGGCGGGGAGCAGGATCAGACGTGGAACAGCTGGAACATACCCAGTGCTCAGATGGAATGCCATTGTCACCGGCAGCAGCTTAACCCATTACACTGCCCCGGGGGTTATTAATGAAGTTCATTCTATCAGTGTTGTATATTTCGGCCGGTGCTCTTTGCATCTCATATAAGAAGTCTTTGTCAGTGTTATGAGGCATAGCAAGGAGAGCCTCCACCTGCAACGCCAGCTACCCTCGTGGAGTTTCTGGCTCTTGAGTTCAGCCTGGCTCAACCCTGTCCATTGTGGCCATCTGGCAAGCGAACCAGTGGATAGAAAATCTCTGTCTCTCTTTCTCTATACCTCTTTCAACTTTGTAATTCCTTTCTTAAGATTTATTTATTTTTATTGGGAAGTCAGATACACAGAGAGGAGAGACAGAGAGGAAGATCTTCTGATCACTGATTCACTCGCCATGTGGCCACACGGTCGGAGCTGTGCCGATCTGAACTCAGGAAACAGGAGCTTCTTCCAGCTCTCCCATGCAGGTACAGGGTCCCAAGGTTTTGGGCCGTCCTCCACTGCTTTCGCAGGCTACAAGCAGGGAGCTGGATGCGAAGTGGGGCAGCCAGGACATGCACCAGCACCCATTTGGGATCCTGGCGCGTGCAAGGCAAGTACTTTAGCCACTAGGCTACTGCACCAGGCCTATAAATAATTCTTGAAAACAATAAGACAGCAACTTTTTTTTTTAATTCAAAATTCATGAAGATATTAATGATTTTTTTTTCTAGAAGTTTTTTTGTGTTATCTTTTCACTTTAGGTATCTAATCCACTTTGAATTAATTTTTTAAATCTAGTGAAGTTAGGGACCAGGATGAGCACGCATACACCCCCTCCACCCCACCGTACCTTCCCGCCATGGAAACTCAGCTGGTCACTTACCATACTGAAAATGTCTTTGGCAGTAAGACTGTTACTGTAAATCAGGAGACGGGGTATGTGATGGCTCTGGACTTGGTTCTGTCTCGTTTCTCCATGTTGGCCCAGCATCGCAGCAGATGCTTCAGGGACCTGGCTTTGTGGCCTAGAACAGCTGCTCTTCCACCTTGTTCTCGACTGTGCCAGCTCCTTCCCAGTTCCATCAAGCACTCCGGATCAGCCTGTCCGACACACACATGTCCTCCTCTGCCCTGTCTCTCTCTGGGGACTTTTTTCAGAGTCTTGAATCTGTAGATCCGTTGGGGAAATGCATCTCCATCTATTCGGGTCTGATTTCTCTCGGCACTGTTTTGCATTTTCATCACAGAACTCTTGGGAATGCCTCGTTAGATCCATGCTGGGTGACTGTGCTGTTGCACAGGTATTTTTTTTTTTTTCGAGTTTCCAATTGATATTACAGGGAATATAATTGATCCTTGGGTATTGACCTGATTTATACACAGTAGCTTTGATTAACTCACTGCTTAGGGGAGTATGTCTAGAAATTGGGCTTTCAACATAACCAGTTCTTTTTCATACATTATTTTATAGTGTTGAAATTTTTTGTACAATTTTTGTCAAAACTGCATCTGTCATTTACATGAAGTTTTAAAATGCATATACATTGTGGAATGGCTAAATTGAACAAATTTGCGAATGTATTACAACTTTCTCATTCCTGTAGTGGTGAGAATACCTAGTCTACTGTCATTAAGTTAATGTAAGTTTTCCATATACATTGTTGTTAACTGTAGTCGCTGTGTTATGCAACAGACCTCTGTTGTTTGATCTTTATAAACATAGGCCACCTTCATTGTATTTCAAAAGGAGAACAAGTGCTTTCATGGTAGCGGGTGGTGGTGGCTTGTATTCTGATTCAATGACCTGCTTGGGTAAAATGGAAAGTTGGCAACCATATGCTGGCCACCAAAATTAAAGTTTTGTTGGTCCTGAAGACCCATTGAGTTGGACCCCACCCCTCCAAGGGCCTCTGGTGAAGTGGACAGGTCTTTGTGGGGACAGCCACAGGCCCTGGGAGGGCCTTGGTGAAGCGGCCTTGGACCTGGAGCTACAGAGGCTCCCAGGGATCCTGTGCTCACATCTGTGCATCCTCTGGGCTGCCCACCCGAAGGAAACCGCTGTGACCGGAACAGCAGGTGGTCAGCAAACCTGGGAGCCTGCAGGCTGCTGCCTGCCCAGGCGCAGATGCAGCATGCTGTGGAAAGCACCAGGGGGTACGCCTTGAAGCAACTGCAAACTCAGGCGTTCAGCTAACAGTGAGTTGAATCCATTCTGTCTGCCCTGCAGGAAACAAAGGGCTCAGTGGTGAGCGGCAGGCAGATGGCCTTATTGTTGGAGACTAGCTGTTTGCCCTTGGCTTGCCGAATTCTTTCCTGTTTTCTCTGTGGCCTCTGACATCATGTGTTCAGGCCCTGGGTTGTGTGTACATGCTAGTGCTGAGGAGAGCAGAGACGGTTGTGCCAGAAGCCCTGGCCCGCCGGGTGCGAGCGCTGCCCCTTCCCAACTTGTGCATCCCTTTCTCCACAGTGTCCAGCCAGCGACGCCACTCCTCCATGGCCCGCATCCATTCCATGACGATTGAGGCGCCCATCACCAAGGTGAAGCGGCTTGTGGTTGGTCTCCCCGGAGCAGGCAGACCCCTGTCTCCCCCAGGGAGACGGAACAGGGACCCATGGCACCACCAGGATCGCTCTGGTCCTTGTGTGGCCCTGCCTCCTCCGAGAGGACCTGAGACAGGAACCCCAGATCTTGGCTGGAGTGAGCACAGCAGGTGCAGTTCAGCTCTAGGTGCTTCCCCTCAGGGTTTTCAAGGTTAAACTCAAGCGACTTCTCTCCACAATGTAGGTGATCAATATCATCAATGCGGCACAGGAAAGCAGCCCCGTGCCTGTGACAGAAGCCTTGGACCGTGTGTTGGAAATCCTGAGAACCACTGAGCTATATTCTCCCCAGTTTGGCGTTAAGGATGACGACCCCCATGCCAATGACCTCGTTGGGGGCTTAATGTCTGTAAGTATGTTGGGCGGCTTCTGGCCAGCTCCTGTCTATTCTCACAGAGTTTGTGTGTAAATGGGGCCCTTTGGAGAGGCTGGCAGGACCCCATCAAACCTGAACTCCTCTGCCCTGGGCTCAGCTGTCTGCCACCTGCCACCTCTCCCAGAGGGACCTCAGCTTGGACCAAGGAAGGGGAGTGTATTCTAGCTAGGCTGTGAAGCCAGGTCCTCCACCCCCGAAGCTTAGAGCTTCAGTGGGTAAGTTATTTAACTATGTATGTTTTTTAAAAATGTAAGTTGTATTAAAGAGTTCAAAAACTAGAGCCGAATAAAAGAAACTCAATAAATATCACACACACTATGCTGGTGGTAGGCTCATTTACCTCCAAGGCATGCCACAGCAGTGTGGGTGCTTCCATAGGAGGGGATCCTCAGGGATGGCTTGCTAGGAGGGGGCCTTGCAGTAGACTCTTCAGGGGCCCTGGGTGTCCCCCCAACCCCTCTGGGAGAGCACACACATAAGGGAGCAGCAGCTTCGGGGAGCACAGGTCACTTGGTCACCTGTTGTCTTGGTCAGGAATAAAATTCCCCTGCCAGCTGCTGCCCTCTGAAATCATGTGGTTTCGTACAAATAAGGTTTGAGGCAGGCATCTAAAGGGCGGCGTGGATTCCAGCTGTGGTGACACCTGCCTGCGTCAGAATGACGAGGGCTCAGGAATCAGTGGAGAGGCTGTGGCCAACAGGGGCTGGCCAGAGACCAGGCATGGCCTGCCGCTCTGAGAGCTGTGGGGTCAGCTGAGAGAGGCGGCTCCTTTAAGGTCCTTCCAGAAAGGAGCCTGTGTGCAGAGAGCAAGGAAGGTGTCAAGACTTAATGGGGGCGTGTCCCCCAGAAGCCTGCATGGTCCTGGGGGCACAGGAGAATGCGGGAGAGGACAGAGGCAGCTGGCGCTGTGACAGGGCGGAGCACAGAACGCCCTGACCGGCCCCCTCTCCTTGGTTTCATCAGGATGGTTTGCGGAGGCTGTCGGGGAATGAATACGTCCTTTCATCCAAAAGTAAGTTTCGTTTTCAGCTTTCTTAGTTTAGTCCTGCAGAAAGATTTACATGAAGAAAAATCATTTTTGCAGATAAAGGTTTTCAGATGCATTTTTCTCATCAGCAACAAGTTGCATGCTCCTAAAAGCTGGGGGACACAGCAAGCAGCCCCCGCCCCCACGACAAACTGTCTTCCCTCTGAGGCCGTTACCCTCGTCCTCCCCCATTGCAGGCCTCTCCCAGGTTTCCAGCAGCGTGATCGCTCCCACCACCCTGCACGACATCCCGCCGCGGATAGCTCGGGCCATGGAAGATGAGGAAACCTGGGACTTCAACATTTTTGAACTGGAGGCTGCCACGCAGAACAGGTGCGTCCGTGGGCAGCTTGGCGCATGAGGGAGAGGCCACTCATGGGTCAGGAGTCACGCTCACGCACAAGAGCTGGTCCCTGGTCAGGGTGGCAGGTGGCTCTGAGTCCCCATGGCAGGCAGCATGTTCATTAGAAGCAGTGGGGTTTTATATGTGTGTGTGTGAAATAAAACATGAATTTCTGCTGTAGCTGGAACCAAAAGGTATTTGATTAGACATTCCGCTTTGGTAAAAGGCAGGCAGACTGTTAGCCTCCTCTGCTGCAACCACAGGGTGCCTTCACTTTTACACTGTGCTGGGAAAGAAGAGCTCACAGTGGTTGTCTGTCCCTGGCATCCAGGCCAGGGGTGTCCACAGACTTGACATCTGCCAGCCGTGCCTTCAGGGCTTCTAGGAGGGGTCTGCTGCTGGATCGCAGCTTATCCCAGGCTGGGGACTATCTCCAGGCAAGCCCCCGCTCATGCTCGCCTGTCACCATCCCCAGGGCAGCCAAGGTGAGTGAGGGAACACCCTCATGGCAGGTGCATCTTTGAGCACCTGCTCTGCATGTTAGTGATACTGTAGCCATGGGAGTTGGACTGAGGCAGGTTAGCTCAAGGCCCCTGACCACTGGGGCCACCTCCTCCACAGAGCCACGAGGTGCAGGCCTTCAGAGGCTCAAGCTGCCTCTTGAGGGCGGGCTCAGTTCAGTGGAAACTGGTCACTTTCCCAGGGTAATCCCCTCCCACTGTGTCAGCCACTTCCAGGTTGCCAAGACAACTCCATGATGTGTGCTGAAGTCTGGCAAGTCTAGAGGAATGGAACAAGTTGAGCCTGGGAAAATGATGGCAGGTGTCCGAGGGTTCCCTTAGCAAGCAGAAAGCCCCAGAGGGGTCTGAGGGCAGCAGCTGTGGAGCTGGCCTTGCCCCCCAGGGTGGACTAGCCTCACAGCGAGGCCAGCATGACCCCTGCACGCTTGCAGAAGGCTGGCTGAGACTTGCCTGTTGCATCTGAACATATTTAGAGCTCAAAACAGGTAGCCTGTTTTATTCTAACACTGTGGTGGTTTTGCTCTACAGGCCTTTGATTTACCTTGGTCTCAAAACTTTTGCTCGCTTTGGAATCTGTGAATTCTTAAACTGCTCAGAGTCAACACTGAGATCATGGCTACAGATCATTGAAGCCAATTACCACTCTTCCAACCCCTACCACAACTCCACGCATTCCGCCGACGTGCTGCATGCCACCGCCTACTTCCTCTCCAAGGAGAGGGTCAAGGTAAGCCGGCCCCGGGCCGCGTGGCTGAGCGAGCAGAGCAGGAGGAGAGGTCAGCGTGGCTGCTCAGGAGCGTTCCCCACAGACCCCTAGACTGGCAGAGTCAGGGCAGAGCCCCTAGAGTAAGAGGGGAGTGGACAGACTCCTGGGCGGCAGCATAGCCATGTCACTGCTGCAGGGCCGTGGGGCAGAGCTGAGGCCAAGTTCATCATCTTTATCCCCGGCCTGCTCCCACCTGGTGCGGTCAGCCACCCCGACACTCAGGGCAGAAACCTGACCCCTCTCCTCCCCTCTCCCCTGGCTGGCCATACATGTAGGCCAAACTAGAACTTACTAACAGTGAAAAAATATCACAAATACTAGAAATGATCAGATATCCTAAGATGGATTCATTTTAACCAAACAAATAAAAAATTAATAGAAATAGATGTGAAACAGAAGATGTTGGAGCACTGTGCATATCAATGCTGAACTGAGTTTCTCTTGGTTAAAAAAAAAAAAGTTTAGGGCCTGGCACAGTAGCCTAGTGGCTAAAGTCTTCACCTTACACATGCCAGGATCCTGTATAGGCTCCACTTCCCTTCTGGCTCCCTGCCTGTGGCCTGGGAAAGCAGTGAAGGACGGCCCAAAGCCTTGGGACCCTGCACCCACATGGGATAAACTCCTGGCTTCTGATCGAATCAGCTGTGGTCATTGCAACCACTTGGGGAGTGAACCAGTGGATGGAATATTTTCTGTCTATCCTTCTCTATAAATCTGCCTTTCCAATAAAAATAAATATATCTTTAAAAAAAAGAATTAGAAAACCAAAACGGGACATTAGCACAGAAATAATTTTTTTTTAAAGATTTATTTTATTGGAAAGGCAGATATACAGAGAGGAAGGTCTTCCATCTGATGATTCACTCCCCAGGCAGCCACAACGGCTGGAGCTGAGCCAATCCCAAGCCAGGAGCCTCTTCCAGGTCTCCCACGCGGGTGCAGGGTCCCAAGGCTTTGGGCCGTCCTTGACTGCTTTCCCGGGCCACAAGCAGGGGGCTGGATGGGAAGCGGGGCTGTCGGGATTAGAACTGGCACCCATATGGGATCCCGGGCGTGCAAGGCGAGGACCTTAACCACTGCACCACCGCGCCGGGCCCAGAAATAATTTATAAGTTGTCAATTTATTTCTTCAGTGAATTGATAGGCGAGCTCTTTTGCCTTTCAAAGGGGAGCTTTTTGCTGTCACACAGTCCTTCTCAGAGCCTAAAAATGGGAAACATGTGGATCAGACTGTGCTCTGATGTCGCCTCAGTATACCAAAAGGGGCAGAAAACTAGATCGGTCCCAGCTGGTGCAGGTGATGCACATTTAAAAATCCTATTTTTCACATAGGTCTAAATCAGTTCTGAAACAGTTTTTTGGCAGCAGGGGTGAAGCAGGACCAGCCTTGGGTGTCCGAGATCTGCCACTCCTGTGTGGTGGGGACACCTGTTCTAGGCCCTGAGGATCAGACAGTTCTCCCAGGAGACACATGTCTGCACAGAGCTCCCTCCAAGTGCTGATGGGAGAGAAAGATCTTCCATCTGCTCGTTCACTCCCCGAATGGCCACAACAGCTGGAGGTGAACCAATCTGCAGTTAAGAATCAGGAACTTCTGGGTCTCCCACGCGGATGCAGGGTCCCAAGGCTCTGGGTCACTTCTGCTTTCCCAGGCCACAGACAGGGAGCTGGGTGGGAAGTGGAGCAGCCAGGGCACGAACTGGCACCCATATGGGATCCCAGTGCTCTCAGGCAGAGGATTAGCCAATTGAACCATGGCGCCAGCCCCACTCTCCCCCCCCCCATTTTGAAAAGATCTCTTGTTTTCAGAAAACTTTAGACCCGATCGATGAGGTAGCCGCCCTCATTGCTGCCACAATTCACGATGTGGACCACCCTGGGAGGACCAACTCCTTCCTGTGCAACGCCGGGAGTGAGCTGGCCGTCCTGTACAACGACATCGCTGTGCTGGAGAGCCACCACTCGGCCTTGGCCTTCCAGCTGACCATGGGAGATGACAAGTGCAACATCTTTAAAAACATGGAGAGGTGAGAGCAGCACCTCTGCCGTCCCATGCACTGCCACTCGGCTCCCCCAGGGCTGGGGGGGCCTGTGCACCCCGCTACCACTGAGAGCGCTTTCGCTCATCCCTTCAACACCCCCACTCCCGAGCAGTCCCTGCTGCAACCCCTCAACCCTAGGCCACCACGGAGCTACCTTTGGTCTGCAGACCCGCTGGTTCTGCGAATGAAATCATGACCCATGGTCTCCTGTGACTCTGTCCTTCTCAGCACAGCACTTCCAAGTTCAGTCCCTGTGTGTTGACATCTCTGGAAAGCAAAGCGGGGTGTTCCTGAGGCCCTGAGAAGTCGCCGTCCCCCGCCCCCTGTGCCCAGCACACGTCTCAGCCCTCACATGCCAGGGTGTGCAGTCTCCCATCATGTGGTTGGCAGCAGCTCACCTGATCTGATGGCTGAGCCCTTCAAGACCTTAGGTGTCTGAGGTCTTCTGCCCCCACATGCCCGTGGGTCTCCCGCGATGCTGGGGACACATGCATTCCAGGATTTTGGAGTTGAAGTAGGCTTTGTTCACCGTGTCAGAACACATGAGATGCTGCCACTGTGGTGGTCCACAGGGACAAGATCTGGTGACTCAGCAGGCCTCACGTCTTCCTCCTTAGTCCCCGTTGAGTTTAAGAATCCCTGGATTACCTCTTCAAAAAACGAGCCCTAGATCTGTCCAACTGAAAACCAGGAGATAGTGCCCAATAGTGCTGTGATTTTTCTGAGACAGCAGGATCCTCGGGGGCGGGGGTTACATCCTTAGTGAAGACACAACACTGAGGTTTGTTCCTCCTGTGGTGTCCTGTCAATTTGTTCTAGAAACGGTATGCCTCGTGCTAGACCGACAGCAAGATAAACACAGCAGCTATAGCACACTTCCAGGCAGATGGTCTAGGCACTAGCCCATCCTTCCAGCTCCCCAGGGCATTAGCCACAGCAGACATGGGTCCTGGTGACAGGTGGGCCCAGGTACCTCCCGGGTCTGGATCTGTGACCCGCAGCCGCCTTGCATCTGTCGTCTGCTGCAGGAATGATTACCGGACACTGCGTCAGGGCATTGTGGACATGGTGCTGGCCACAGAGATGACGAAGCACTTCGAGCACGTCAACAAATTTGTCAACAGCATCAACAAGCCCTTGGCGGCCCTGGAAGAAGCTGGGGTAAGGGGCCTGTCTGGGACTCTGAGAGGCTAGAGTCGTGGAGACAGAGGTCCTAGGACATCCCAAGCCTTGGAGGGGGACCCTACACAGCTTGTGGAACTTAGCTTCCACCAGCAAGAAAAAAGGTTAGGACGTCCAAACAGGGGTGAAAACTGCCGGAAAGGTCAGATGACAGGTTCAACTGGGTTTAGATGGGGGTGCGGGGGGGAAGACACCCTGGGCTCTTTCTCACACACGTCCCCTCTGCTCTTCTTGGACACTCCAGGGCCAGCTGGAGGCCTTCAGGGCTCTCTGGCAGCCACTACCACTAGCTACATTGCGTTGTCACCCACCCAGGCGGCCGGGCCCTGGTATTTAAGTCCCAAGGACAACAGCATTGCTGCCCTTTGGGGCTGCATCGGCAGCATGGTGACAAGGATAACAGAACCTGTGGCCAGGCAGGAGGCCCGAGGCGGCCTCAGAGCCAGGTCCCCTGCTGTCTCTGCTGCCTGGCTTCCTTGCTTGTGCCCCGGGGCAGCAGGCATGCACCTCAAGGCACTTACCGACTGGGAGACGCGCCCTGGAGGTTGTGCTCCTTCATGACCGCTCTTCCTCTGAGCCCCTGACTCCTGCATTTATTAAAGTAGGAACTGAAAAGATTAAACAGAGGGAGAGAGAAGACCATCAGCAGCACAGGAGGATGGATACAGCCACCCCAGGGCTGCCCGCTGCTCTCCCTGGACCCATTCCCTAGCTTCCTGCTAACACGCCTAAGGCACCGGAAGGAGGCCCACATGGGACGCCCTGGCCATGGTGGCCATTTGGGATGTGAAGCAGCAGATGGCAGAGTTCCCTCTGTTTAACTCGGCCCTAAAGGGAAGGGAAGGCAGGCCAGCTCACTGAGGGGCTTTGGCCACACTCTTCTGTGCAACCTTTAACAGGAAGATCCTGAAACAAGAGCAGAAACAAAGTGTCCGGCACCAGAAACTGATTTGATTGTTTTGAACTCCACTGGTGTTTTAGGAGACTGAGAAAGACCACGAGGCTATAAACGCTATGCTCAGAACTCCAGAGAACCGAACCCTAATCAAACGGATGCTGATCAAGTGTGCCGATGTGTCCAACCCCTGCCGGCCGCTGGACTACTGCATCGAGTGGGCCGCTCGCATTTCAGAAGAGTACTTTGCTCAGGTAAGAGATTGCTTCTTAACCTTCCCAGAGAGAGGTTAGGGATGCTATCACAGACAGTGGGAACAGGCAGTGGGCCTGGTGGGTAAGTCGCTGCTTCAGACACTCCTGTCCAGTCTGAATGCCTGGATCCGTGGCCCTGCTGCCTGCCCGTGTGCACCTGGCAGGCAGCAGGGGATGACTCCTCTGGCCATCCATGCAGGAGACCCCAGTTGGGTTTTGAGCTCCTGGCTTCAGGCTGGCCCAGGGTCGGGTATGGCAGACATTTGGACAGTTAAGAAGAGGGTGGGAACTCTGTGTTAACCTGTCTCTCCCTGCTTCAAATAAAATGTCTTTAAAATTTAATACAACTAGGAAACCGTTCTTAAGAAACCTTTGACCTTGGGGCACATTACGTTGCATATTTACTGGCAATGAGTTGCATTACTTCTTCCTCTGAGAATGGGCTGATTGGACTTGAATCTTGCAGGTATTCCTCCTGGGGATCGACTCCTGGGCCAACATTTCCCTCCTGAAAACATTTTAAGAGGGTATCCTGTCCTCCGTGCTCTTTCTGATAGAGCAGAGACTTGTCTTGAAGCACTGCCAAAACATTAGAAAACACAGAGACAAGGGCTGTGGCGCCCCAGGTTAAGCTGCCACTTGGGGTGCCTGCGCCCCATACCGTGGGACCTGATCAGAGACCCACTGCTGAGCTCCTGAGTCAGTGGCTGGTGGGCCCCCCGCCAGCAGCGTGACCGCTCAGAGACCCCCCGCGCCTGCTCTGGCATGGCTCAGCCCCGGCTGCTGCAGGCTATTCGGTCAATGACCCAACAGATGGAAAACTCAATTAAATAAGCATTTTTATTTAACTACAAAATATAATTGGTAAGATTTCTGCAGGTTTGATGGTGAACATGTGTATACAATTCAAGAAGGTCAGTGACTCATAACCTTTGGCAAGCGTGCTGTGGTCAATTAACTACAAGCCAAACAGAAAAGGAAAAAAAAAAACCTTCAAATTACATGTTACTTATAAGAAAATAATGGCTCTTTCCTTTTCTGATGTCCTGCCAGAAACTATGAAAGCTGAAGGACATTGGAATAACTTTAATAAAAGGATTTCCTTTTCAGATTTATTGATATATTTATTCGAAAAGCAGACCTTCACATGGAGAGATCTTGCAGCTACCAGTTCATTCCCCATCTAGCCACAACAGAGCTGGACTGGTCAAGAGCTTGGAGCTTCTTCTGGGTGTGTCATGTGGGTGCAGGGTCCCAAGGTCTTGGGCCATCCTCCGCTGCTTTCTCAGGCATATCAGCAGAGATCTAGATCAGAAGTGGAGCAGCCACGACTCAAACCCGCACCTGTATAGGATGCTGGCACCATAGATGGAGGCTTGGCCCACTATGCCAAAGCACTGGCCCCAGACATAGCATCTCTAAAGTGTGGTAACAAGAAAACTCCCAAGCAGAGTTCTCTGTACAGCAAAAGCAGCCTTTAGGAGCCGAGCCAAAGCCCGGGAGGTGGCGTAGAAGGTTAGGCCCTGCCTGGGACACTGGCTTCCTAGACAAGCACTGGTTTGAGTCCTGGCTGCCTGACTTCCCATTCAGCTCTCTGTTGATCCACCTTAGAAAAGCCGGGAAGGATGGCCTGAGTGCCTGGGCCCCTGGCAGCCACACGGCAGACGCAGAGAGAGCCCTGGGCTCCTGGCTTCCAGCTGGCCCAGTGCTGGCTGTTGCAGCCATTTGAAGGTGAACCAGTGAATGGAAGATCTCCCTCCTTCCCACTCTGCCTTCCAAATAAATGATAAACAAAAGTAAATACACCTCTCAGATAAGGAAAACGCCTAGAATTGTTGACCAGCAAACCTAGAGTGGCTCAGGGAAGAGTACTTTTTGTTTTTAGTTGCCACATATCAGTTTCCATCTGTAACGGTGGGATCGGGATAACTGGCAGGACCCGCCACCTTAGACACGGGTGAGCTCCGTGAGTTGGGAATATTCAAAGTCCACCTGCCATCTCTATGGAAGTACCATCAGCCACAGCGTCTTCAGCTCTTCCTCCCCCTCCCGTGGCGGCACGCCAGGCCCAGCAACCAGCACCCTCACCCAGGCCCCCGCCAGCATGCCCTGGCTGGGCTCGGGTCACCACTCACCTCCGTGCCCGCGAGACATCCACATCGCAGCGAGCACACGGCTCTCACCTCTCAGCTCGCTGCAGACGAGAGGGAACTTGCTTCTGAGGCACAGGGATAGCCTATACCACAGGGATAGCCCACTCTGTACATACCACATTCGATCCGCTGCTGGGCGTCTCAGCTGGATTCCATATCCTGGCTATCACCAGTGATGCCTCTGTGTAAATGTGAGTGTGGGCACTTCCTCCACAGGCTGTCCCGACTCCTCCCGTGGGGGCATGCCAGCGGGCTGGGGTTCTGCTTCCCTAACGGCTGTGCTCACGTCCCCGCCGGCAGTGTGTGCCTTCTGCACAGCCTTACTGGCATTGCTTCAGACCTTTGGGACCATAGCCCTTCTGACTGGGCTCAGGCTACCTCAGTGTAGGTTTTTTGTGTTGTTGTTTTTTAATTAAAGATTGATTTGATTTGGAAAGGCAGATATACAGAGAGGAGCAGAGGCAGAGAGGAAGATCTTCTGTCTGATGATTCACTCCCCAAGCGGCTGCAACAGCTGGAGCTGAGCCAATCCCAAGCCAGGAGCCAGGCGCCTCTTCCAGGTCTCTCATGCAGGTGCAGGGTCCCAAGGCTTTCAGCCGTCCTCAACTGCTTTCCCAGGCCACAGGCAGGGAGCTGGACAGGAAGCGGGGCTGCTGTGATTAGAACCGGCACCCATATGGGATCCTGGGCGCATGTAAGGCAAGGACTTTAACCACTACGCTATCGCACCGTGCCCGCCAATGTGGTTTTGATTTGCATCTCCCTAATGGGTAGGAGGATGCACCTTAATCCCGGCAGCTCCACTTCCCATCCAGCTCCCTGCTTGTGGCCTGGGAATGCAGTCAAGGATGGCCCAAAGCTTTGGGACCCTGCGCTTGCGTGGGAGACCCAGAAGAAGTTCCTGGCTCCTGGCTTGGGATCGGCATAGCATCGGCCGTTGCGCTCACTTGGGGAGTGAATCATCAGACAGAAGATCTTCCTCTCTGTCTCGCCTCCTCTCTGTATATCTGACTTTCCAATAAATAAATAAATAAATCTTTAAAAAAAAAAGAGAGAGAAAGGTTTATTGAATCATTTGCCGTTTTTGGTTTTTTTCTTAATTTTACTTTTCTATTTGAAAGAGAGGGAGATCTTCCATCTGCTGGTTCACGCCCCAAATGCCCACAGCCAGGGCTGGGCCAGGCCTAAGCCAGACGCCTGGGGCTCTGCCAGGTCTCCCCTCTGGACTCCAGCCAGGCACTCCAAGTGAGGGTGCCGGTATCTGAAGCAGTGACCGACCCGCTGCGCCAAATGCCTGTCCCCATTAGCCCACTTTTAAATTAGATTTTTTGGGGGGTGTTTGGTTATTGAGTTATTCATACATCCTGGAAATTAACTCCTTGTCAAGTGAATAATGTACATATATTTTCTTCCATGGGTAAATTAACAAGAAAAATTGGGAAATATTTGGTGTTAAATAATAAAACATAACAAATTGTGGGATGCAACCAAAATGATTAGAGGGAAATTTATAACTTATTAGAAAGGAAGATGAAATTAATGACTTTGATTTTACCTTAAACCACTAGAAGGTGAGTCAGCATCGTGGGTGAGGCACAGTGGGTTAAGCAGTTGCTTGTGACACCAGCATTCCATGTTAGAACACTGGTTCAAGTCCCGGCTGCTCCAGTTGCAGCCCAGCTCCCTGCACAACACTGAGAAAGCAGCAGCAGGTGGCCCAAGCACCCAGGCCCCTGCCACCCACCTGGGCTGCCCAGAGGGAGTTCCAGGCTCCTGGTGTCGGCCTAGCCCAGCATTGCGGCACAGCAGTGAGTTGCCTGTGAAACCGCCATCCTCCATGGGTCCTGGTTCCTGTCCCAGCTCCCGGCTGGCGGCTGGCAAAGCAGCGGGGATGGCCCGGGTGTCCGGGCTCCTTCCTGCAGCCTGCTCAGCCCTGGCCACTGCAACCACCTAGGGAGGCGGCGGCAGATGGGAGATGGAGCTCGCCCGCCCTCTGTAACTCTGACAGCAAATAGATAAATCTTTCAAAAAAAAGAAAAGTAAAACTTTCCCCCAATCATGAAGAGATTCATTTTTTTTTCTTTCCTAGAAGTTTGGTTTTTATCTTTCACTTGAAGTCTCTAATCCTGATGAGGGTGGGGATCAGCCTGAGTACTCCCTAACCCAACCGGGAAGGAGGTCTTCCGTCCGTTGGTTCGCTCCCCCCACATGGCCACAGCTGCCAGGCCAAAGCCAGGAGCCTGGTGCCAGGAAGCCATCTGCTCATTGCTTGCTCACCTCAGAACACCAGACGGGAGCAGAGCGGCCGGGCCTGCTCGGGAGGGGGTCCGGCCATGGCGGCCCCTGTGCGGGCCGGGGTTGCTGGGGCTGCGCCGGGGGCTCCCTGGGCCGCGGCCACCGAGGACTCTGCTTTGCAGACAGATGAAGAGAAGCGGCTGGGCTTACCCGTGGTGATGCCCGTGTTCGACCGGAACACTTGCAGCATCCCCAAGTCCCAGATCTCCTTCATCGACTACTTCATCACCGACATGTTCGACGCCTGGGACGGTAAGGAGCGCGCTGTCTTGCCAGGTCTGGATCGGGGCGGGAGGGGAGGTGTGCTGGGCCCTTCCCCAGGGCTGGCTGCGCCCGGTGCCTTTCTGCCTCCTCCGCCCCAGGCGCTGGCGTGTTTGCAGCCGAGGGCCTGGCCTGGAGCGCACACCTGAGGGAGAAAAGCCAGAGTTGAGATTAGCAATACTGAAGACATCGCCCACCCCCAGACCTGTGCGGCCCCCACAGGGCGGCCGGCCTCCCTCTAGCCAAAACAGGGCTTACGATGTGCCTAAGACCACAGAGCCCTCCTTCCCCTTCACCCCCAAGGTCATGAGAGAAGAGGGGCCCTGCTGTTCTCTGGGCACCTGCAGAATCCTGCCGTGAGCAGGCACCAGGGCTGTGGGAGTGCAGGGGTGACCGGCCTGGAGGTGCTGGGGAAACGGCTGGGAAGTGGACTGCGGGTGGGCTCGGTAGCCACGGTGGTGGGCTCGGCAGGCAACGCAGAGGAGGGCTGGGGAGGCCCTGGCACTCCCCCCCTCCGGTGACCCTGTCCTGTGTGTGACCGAGGCTGGAGCAGCCGACCCACTCCCACATTTCCCCGCAGCCTTTGTCGACCTCCCGGGTCTCATGCAGCACCTGGACAACAACTTCAAGTACTGGAAAGGACTGGACGAGATGAAGCTGCTGAGTCTGCGGCCTCCCCCGGAGTGCGAGAAGGGGCACCCCGAGGACGAGCCCGGGGCCGGGACAGGCCTGGGCCCCTGACCCGCGGCCCTCCCTCGCTGGGAGTTCCCGAGGGCAGCCGACCCACCTCCTGCGCGGGGGTCACTAGCAGCAGAGCCCCCCGAGGAACCTCCAGCCGGCCGTGCAGCCGCTGCCCGGTGGGGCGCAGCTCCGGAGCCCCGGGCACTCGCAGGGCCCAGAGCACACGCTGGAACACTACTGAAAAGTGACTTCTCTGAGAGCCGAGTAGCAGGTGAAAAATAAGAGGAAATTGTCGAAGCTGATTATTACTCTCAATTATTATCAAAATGTTTTATTTATTTTATTAGGAGTTGAATATTTTCTATGAATTTAAAAATCCTTCAATGCCAAAGCCCGCTCCTAATGCCATGACCAAATCTGTGTGACTCGTATCCATTAAATATGCATTATTCTTGGTGTACACTTATTTTCATAATGCAAACTTAAAACATTATGACACATTTTTATTGCACTACGGAAACGTGTGTACCTTCAGCTCCGTGGATGTTCCGTGGGTCGCGGGGGAGCCAGGCCGGCCTCCCAGAGGGCACGATGCGGGCTCTGGCGCCCCCTGGTGCTCCGTGAGCATCACAGCGACTCCACGCGCAAAGCTGCACTCCTCGGTATGCTAAGTGAGGGGTTACCCCTTTTTTCCTGAAATTTTATATATGAATTTCCAAAACATCTGCCTTATTTTATACTGTTTCTATAAAAGATATTCCTTATAAAGAAAACAAGAGCAAAAGTGGAGTATTTCATGAGTTGACACTTTATAACCAACCTGCTTTTCACCCACCAGTGGGAATTGTTTTTTGAGTCAAGAAATTTATAAATGCCTCTGTATGGTCACATTTTGAATAAGCATAATACCACGAAAAAATGACACCTGATGACTTGTCAATGTGTTTGCTGTTGTTTTAAACGTGTCTATTTTTTCCAGGCCAAAGAAAAAAAATGAAATTAAACTATTTGTTTCTAAGAATGCATGTGCCCCTTTCTCTGCAGTTTTGTCTTAGGATACTGCTCTTTTTCTAAGTTGAGAAAATGCTCCCACCCCACCACACCCCCGGGACTACAGGGGCCCAAACCCTTGCACCATCCTCGGCTACTTTCCCAGCTACTCGGCTACTACATCAGCAGGGAGCTGGATCAGAAGTGAAGCAGTCAGGACTTGAACTACTGCCCAGATGCCAGCCATGCAGGCAGTGGCTTAACCCACAATGCCGCAGTGCTGACATAATTCTGTTTTCCAACAGACTTAAAGTACCATCTTTGAAATAAACAGGAAACTCTGTAGAATTTCAACAGAAAACCAGACATCCCTCGAGAATCAGTAAATCGGAAGGCAGTGAAGGGACTCTTGGAAGGTGAGACTAGGAAGATGAAGATGGGAAATCTGAAAGTGAAACTTGAAGGTGAGACGCAGGGCTTAAGCACATGGAACACCACAGCTAAGTGAAACTGGAACAACCCCAGTAAGGAGACAGCGGTGAGGGTAGCTACTGGTGGTGTCACCATCTCACCACGGCGCCAGTTCGAGTCCCGGCTGCTCCACCTCCGAGCCGGCTCCCAGGACGGTGCCTGTACGTGGACCCCTGCCACCCAGATGCAGTTTCAGGCTCCTGGTTTCAGGCAGGCCCAGCCCCGACTGCTGTGGCCGTTTGGAGAGTGCCGGGGCGCTCCTGTTTCTCCTCCCTTCCCTCCACCTTGAAATAAATCTTTAATAGAGCAGATGGTGAACAAAGACACCGGCAAACATCTGGACAGAGCAAAGTATGGTGAGTGGGGAGAAGCAGTGAAGAAGCAGGTAATGGAGGGACAGGAGTTCAGAAGGTGAGACACTCCGTGTAGGCGACAAGCGCAGGGAGACTGACGGGAAGTAGGAGGGAAACGGGGAAATGACAAGCTCAGGCAGAGCAGGTGGAAAGAGCAGCACTCGCTAATGACACGTAAGCTCAGTCACAAACGGAACACGAGAGCCTGCACGTAGGGGACACTGAATGTCAGAAACCCCGCCAGGCTCACACAGCGAGGGCAGGCAGCATGGGCCATGCCCCCGTCCCCCGCAATCCGCCCCTCGGTCATGGCTCTGGCCAGCTGCCGGCTGCCACACGAGTCCCCCCCGGCCCCCGCCAGTCCCCGCTGGTCCCTCGTCTTCCTCCGCCCGCCCCTCTTCTTGGCTGCTCCTAAGCAAGGGCGCTTGTACCTGCTGGCTCTGGAGGAGACGCTGTCCACCCTGGACGTGTTTGCCCAGGAATGTGGCTGCTGCCCACCAGCTGCCTGTGCCCGGGGCCCCTGGCCGGGAGCAGCGTCGCCGGCAGGGCACTAGGCAATACGACCGCGCCCCAACCCCAAACCCGCGGGTACCGATTCCAACCCAGTGAGAGGAGAAGCCAAAGGACAAAGCTAAGCCACGCCTGGACTCCTGACTCCGAATGTTGGTTCACATCGAATGTTGGTTCACATCGGTCAACTTTTTGGTCATTCATTACCCAGCAACAATGCTAGAAGCTGCGTAGCCGTGAAGAATGAAGTAGAGCAGCAGATACTGTGGCACTGCAAGCTAAGCCGCCATCTGCAACGCCTGTAGCCTGCTTCAAGTCCCAGCTGTTCCACTGCTGGTCCAGCTTCGGTGAACAGGCCCAAGGTCTTGGGCCCTTGGGTCTGATGTGAGACACACTGATCGGGCTCCCGGCCTCAGTGTAGCCCAGCCTTGCCTGTCATTTGGGGAGTGAACCAGTGAATGGAAGAGTTCGCTGTCTCTGCTCTCTCATATAATAGTTTTAAAGATTTATTTTTGGTTGGAAGGCAGATTTACAGAGAGAAGGCGTGACAGAGAGAGATCCTCCACCTGTTGGCTCATTCCCCACATGTCCACAACAGCCAGGAGCCATGAACTTGTGGGTGCCCCATGTGAGGGCAGGTCTCCAAGGCTTTCCCAGGTCACAAGCAGGGAGCTGGATGGGAAGTGGAGCAGCCAGGACACGAACCGGTGCCCACATGGGATGCCATGTCATGATGCTGACCCACACATGAACAATTCTTAAAGAGTGAAATACATCTATAGGTGTCAACTGGGGGAAATTGTAATATACACAAGGAGTACCTGTGTTGTGGCACAGTAGGTTAAGTTACCACTTGTGACACCAGTATCAGCAGAGCGCCAGTTCAAATCCCCAGCTGCTCCATTTCCAATCCACAGCTGGAAGCAAGCAGAACATAGCCCAAGTACTTGGCTTCCTGTCGCCCACATGGACGACCCGGATGGAGTTTGTGGCTCTGACCTGGCCGGAGGCACTGAAAGGATGAGCCAACTGACGGCAGCCTCATCTCTCCCTGTTAAACTTGAAAAGCTAACAAGTTGCAAGTCATTTGCATCCCTTCTCCCATTCCCAAACCACAGCCAGGAGGCAGAGCAGCAGCGCTGTTTGTGAAGCCACCACCGTGCCTGCTAACACGCTCGCCCACTGGAACAGGCACAGCTTCCCCCGGCTGCCCCTCGCTCCGGGCTCACGGGGCCACTCGCTGCATGAGACCGGGCACCCCGGCTGGGGCTGGGACCCCGTGCTGGGGCGGCAGCAGCAGGCTCAGGAGCCACCGCCAGTGCCCAGCCACCAGCCTGTGAGGTGCGGTCCGGGTGGACCACCCGCCTCGGAGTCCGCCCACAGGGCTTTTCCATCCCTTCCCCGACAGGTGTCTCCTGGGAGCCTGGGACCGGGATAGGCAGGAGCTGTGGGAGAGGCGCGAGCTGCGCCCCACGCCAGGGAAGCTGGGGGTGCGGCATGAGGGTGTGAACGCTGGGCAACCTGCGCAGCCCACGGCGGGAGGGGCCCTGCAACGAGGCCAGCCCACGGGCGAGGGGAACCAGGAATCAGCCAGTGCTTGGCCCACAGGTGTGGAGGCCAAGGGCCCACCACGGTGTTGTCCCAGGGAGGGGCTGCGAGCAGCTGCCTTGTCCTTCCAGTGCAGAAGAGCGAGCGCCAAGAGGACCCGGAGCCGGCCAGGAGGCCCCACCCTCACGACCCAATGTTACCACCCAGCTTGGCGACGGGGTTCAGCTGCCACCCCAAATCGGGTGCCGTGTGGGTACTGCTGGATACCTGGCTGCTCTACTTTTTTAAAAAAGATTTATTATTATTATTATTACAAAGTCGTATACAGAGAGGAGAGACAGAGAGGAAGAACTTCCGTCCGATGATTCACTCCCCAACTTAGCACAACGGCCAGTGCTGCACCGAATCCGAAGCCAGGAACCAGGAACCTCTTCCGGGTCTCCCACACGTGTGTAGGATCCCAAAGCACTGAGCCGTCCTCAACTGCTGTCCCAGGCCACAAGCAGGAAGCTGGACGGGAAGTGGAGCAGCTGGGATTAGAACCAGCGCCCATATGAGATCCAGGGGTGTTCAAGGCAAGGAGTTTAGCTGCTAGACCACGCCGCCGGGCCCCCTTTTTAAAAAAGATTCATTTTATTTGGGACTGGTGCGGTAGCCTAGTGGCTAAAGTCCTTGCCTATATGGATTCTATATGAGCACCAGTTCTAATCCCAGCAGCCCCGCTTCCCATCCAACTCCCTACTTGTGGCCTGGGAAAGCAGTCGAGGACGGCCCAAAGCCTTGGGACCCTGCACCCACATGGGAGACCTGGAAGAAGCTCCAGACTGGCTCAGCACCAGCCGTTGCAGCCACTTGGGGAGTGAAATCACTGGACGGAAGATCTTCCTCTCTGTCTCTCCTCTCTGTATATCTGACTTTGCAATAAAAATAAGTCTTTAAAAACAAGAAAGCAGCAATTTTTTAGGGTAAAAATGCACCGACTTTTATACCTGTACTGCACACTGGTGCAATTTTTTATATTCTAATCAAGCGCAGCTTTACAAAGTTCAGTTCTAAACATGACAGAAGATTTTCAAGACAGCTCGTTTGAATGCCGACAGAACACAGCCTGCTGACCAACACAGCAGTGTTGTCATTGCCTGCAGTGCTGGCATGCTATATGGATGCCAGTTTATATCCCAGCTGCTTCCCTTCCCTTCCCAGCTGCTCCCTATCCGCAGCTGGGAAATGCAATGGAAGCTGGCCTGAACGCCTGGACCCCTGTCATCCACATGGCAGGCCTTGATTGAATTCTGGGACCTGGTTTTGGGCTGCCTCAGCCCTGCCCGTGGCGGCCATCTGGGGAGCGAACCAGCAGATGGAAGATCTCCCACTCTGTTCTCCTTTCTACATTAACTCTACTTTCAAGCACACATTTTTTAAATGGGTGGTGGTGGGGTCACACTGTGGCAGGAAGGGCTGCTGCCAACAAAGCAGGCATCTCCTTGGACGCCAGTGTAAGTCCTAGGTGCACCACCTCCATTCCGGCTCCCTGCTAATGTGCCCGGGAGGGCAGTGGAAGGTAAGTCAGGTCCTTGGGGCCCTGCTACTACATGGGCGCCTAGAAGAAGCTTCAGCCCAGCCCAGCCCTATCCACTGTGGCCAGCTGGAGACTGAACCAGTGGATGGAAGCTCTCTCTCTTTAAAATGTTCCAAAATAAAAAAATTTTAAATCTTAAAAAAAAATACTACATATCACACTGTCTAATCACAATGCAGTAACATTCAAAGTAAATGTTAGTAAAAACATGCAAACAAAATTTTAACCACCTGGGAATGTTAAAAAAAAGAAGAAGAAGAAGAAGAAGAAGAAAAGCAACCCATAAAAACAAACATCTTTCAAGCCAAAGAGAAATAAACAACAAAAACTAAAAAAACCAGATATCAGAAGCTTGGTATAAATGATTGTATGGACAGTGCAACAAGAAAGAAAATGGTACAATGCAATGAAGTAGAAAACACGGGTAAAAAGACATACATACGTGACAATTTAGAAACATTTATTGGGGATCGGGAAGGGGCGACCTTGGGGTCTGGGAGTTAAAACTTCCAGCAGCCTATTGGCTGCCGGCAGGTTCCAGGCCAGGTCCGTCTCCATGCTCA